TTAGACATACCTTTAAGTTGCCAAATATTCTAGTGAATACGAGTAGAACAGCACTCGGGTCTGAGATTGTAAATTAGTATCAACAGAAAAATATCAGGAAAAACGTCTACAAAGACTGTTAACCTTCGGGGTTAAAAAAAGCAGTGTGTTCACCCCGCGCCTGCCTGTGTTAGACATCACTGAAGGTCTAAAGCTCACAGTTAAGTACACTTGCCTACCAAGTTCAGCTGTTGCGTCTCATTCCTTCCATCCTTGGCCTAACTCATTGTGAAATACTGGATGCCAAACATATAATTTCAATTTATTCGTGTTAACACTGTAGGTAGGTATACCTCACAGTCTAACCAAGCCTAATATGCAAAAATTACATGATCTTCAGGTGATAAACTAGATATTAGCAATAGGTTGTATCCCAGGAAAGTATATCCTTCCCAGCCTAAAGTAATGAATTCAATTTTTCCTCCCATTTAAATCATTTGTCAGTTCATTAGTCCAGCCGTCGTACTTTAAATATATACGTGCATATAAATGGTTTCTTTAACCTGGGTTAGCCTAGGTCGAGGGATATTCCGCTGTTACAACCCTCCTCCTTCACAGCTTACCCAGCTTCCACCACTGGGTACCAGCGGCCAGGGTCGTACGTACAGAAGCAGTAGGTATCTCACAAGTGTTGTAGAATTACCACTGGCTGTCCCGCCAGTCTCTGGTAATTTCCCGACGATCGGTATCAGTGTACAGACAAACAACAGGCAGGTAGATTTCCACCAGGTCACAGACACACACCTGTGCACTGTAGTCTTCTTTACTAAGCACTGATTCTTCACAGTTGTTCTACTAGGTTAGTTGTCCTTTACACTCCGAGAAGAAACCGTTGACTGATCCAACTGATGATGATGAGAAGGAGAGAAGAGAGCCGTTTGCTCTGAAGATGGAAGATGGTATAGAGGGAAAGTGAAGTTAGAAATAGGAACTGACCCAATGATGATACGGGCAGTAATCACGTCCCTATTCCCCGACCCTTTCCCATAGATATACGAGAGGTCAGGAAGTTTACGGAGGACATCGTACCAGGTGGGCGGGGAGTCCAGGGGGATGGCTGCTTCCCGAGCTTCTCTCTGTTTGCGGCGAATTTGAGTCCTAAGCTGTAAAAGTGTTAAAGGAGAATACAAGGGAATCTCCCTAAATTTGCCACAAAACTACTGCTTGGGGCAGAAAACAATCAAAACACCGAGTATACAAAATTATAATACGAAATTATGCTTCGGCATAACACCGCAAACAAAATGATCCCCGTGAAGGCTATAGGACAGCCCCTAGGCTGTAGTTACAAATATTTTTGGTAGTTATAAAACTAATATATTTGACAAGAGTCTAAGTATTACAGTGTTGTAGCCAGACTTCGGTCGTTGAGGCTCATCCTCTCTGGGGGTTCCGCCATGCTGACAAAAGACAGATTATCATCTTTTCATGAATTGAGTTCATGCATTAATTCGTGAATGATAAGAACATTTTCCGCATCTTAACAATAGTTATTGTTGAGAATATCACAATGAGACTACAGTATATTCCAGCAGCTCCAGGAACTATACGTGAATTTTAATATTACTGTATCTTGTGGCAACGGCTTTCTAAAGTAACAATTGTCCGACTTAAGACGTGTACACCCGAGGACTGCTCTACATGACAGAACTCAACCTAGATGATAGTTCAATTTAGAGTGATGAGAGAACAGTATTTTCACTCACGTGTTATCATGGTTACCAAGGCTGGCGCTTTCTTTAAAATTTAAAAACCGGAGAAAGTCTGTTTTGAACACACATTACAAACCACCGACGATCAGGGAGGGAGGGGGGGGAGAGTACTGCCAACCCCTCCTGTGTTTTGCTGTGTCACCATCACCTGCTGTGTTTTACTGTGCCACCATCACCTGCTGTGTTTTACTGTGCCACCATCACCTGCTGTGTTTTACTGTGTCACCATCACCTGCTGTGTTTTACTGTCACCATCACCTGTTATGTATTACTGTGTCACCATCACCTGCTGCGTTTTACTGTGTCACCATTACCTGCTGTGTTTTGCTGTGCCATCATCACCTGCAGTGTTTTACTGTGTCACCATCACCTGCTGTGTTTTACTGTCACCATCACCTGCTGTGTATTACTGTGTCACCATCACCTGCAGTGTTTTACTGTGTCACCATCACCTGCTGTGTTTTACTGTGTCACCATCACCTGCTGTGTTTTACTGTCACCATCACCTGTTATGTATTACTGTGTCACCATCACCTGCTGCGTTTTACTGTGTCACCATTACCTGCTGTGTTTTGCTGTGCCATCATCACCTGCAGTGTTTTACTGTGTCACCATCACCTGCTGTGTTTTACTGTCACCATCACCTGCTGTGTATTACTGTGTCACCATCACCTGCAGTGTTTTACTGTGCCATCATCACCTGCTTACTGCACGCCCTTTCCCTTATCTTTTGTTGACAACTAGATTATGGACATACTCGTCTGTAGTTATCAAGGTCGTGATTATTTTTTCCCACTGTAAATACTAATGTTACACACACGCGGAAACACAATCTCGACGATCGGTAATCAGTACGTGCTGTTTTATCCTCTTAATATTTGCAACTAATTTTTGTTTATCACGAGTCTGATTTACCTTCCCTTAAACAGTATTAACTACCTGTAATAACTTAACTAGGACGAGGCTACCAACACCGTCAAATGAAAATGCAATAACTGAATGATCCAAAATGCGTATTTAAACTCAATGGGGCCAGTGAAATATCGGGAGAAAACCTTCACTGTTCGTTTTAAATCACATTCAGTTGTCCTTGTCGGAAATGGATACATACCTAACTTTACGGTTGGGGCAGTACAGGCGAGATAGTGCAGCGCCAGTTACAATCTCCAGGGACACCGAAAGCATTCTCGGTGCAGTTGTGCTGCAACCATTTTGTCCATAAAGGACCGCCAGGTCTATGCTGTATATAGGATCCACTTCCATCTTTTCTATTTCACTTGAGATAAGTGCATCACGATCATTCTAATTACATTTTTCCTAAACTATTATTATTTGCATCGTTTTGTCAAACGTTTTCAAAATGAAAACAAAAACAAATTTTAAGTATTTTTCCCACGCTTCTACCGATTTTTAATACTCATGTTTTCACTTATCATGATCAAGTTTATTTCATTAAAATTTGTTTTAATGCAACACAATGCTGGTTTGATATTCCATCGTCTTTCAATGATTTCACAGTTGCGGCGACAGAAAGCGTATGTACAGCATATACCTAAGTAATTGTCTAGATCTCCTTTTATGTAATATAAACTTTATTTTGATAGGTCATTTAGTCAGTCAATAACAAACCAGAATGAGAGAGCGAGGGGGGGGGGGATTTTTCGATTTCCTAGAGACGCACACAATGAAAACCAGCATCCTCTTTAACTCACTTATCAGAATTGCACCTTGGAAGACAAATTTAAAGACAAAATATTTGTACATAAACGTGTGCAGCCGTTCAGTAGTGAGAGCTACAGACTGGTACCGTCACCTCCCTCTCCACGCCAGGCAGTGTTAAGGAGAGGCGCGATACAGTCGCTCAGGTGACCTGAAGGAGGGGTGGGCCACCCCTTCAGTAATTTCAACACGTTTAAAGTACCAAGCCATGAAGTGGGTGTGTTGCCACTGGTGACAATCCTATCTTCAACATCCAGAACACGGTCATAGATATCTCATTACCTCAACTGTTGCATAACGTACCATGAAACTTTCGTGTGTATACGTATTTATCCCGTATCCTAAAGCAATTTCCTGTGTCCCAAAATAATTCTGATATATAATACTCATCCCACGTTCTAAAATACTTTTGTCTGCATATTCACCTCAAATGTTCAGGATAATTTGGGTTCATGAAAATTTTTGTTATCCTATTCACTGATGTATATTTGCTGTAATTCCTTTCCTTGATAGGCACGTTGAAATGAAGATTATAGCCTATTGCACTACTAATATATTCCTTTCGCCACACAAATTTATATTTCCAACGAAAATTTAATTTGTATAATTATCAAGAGGGATAAATTTATTATATTAAAGCTCATTCCATTTATTATTAATCTTTATAAAACAACCTATCGAGCACTACGTTCTTCAAATCACCTATTTTTCATCGTTTCCGGTTATTAAAGTATTAAAGGTTTTACAGACAGTATTTACATGAGCATATTGATGTTACTTTGGTTTGTTACTTTTAGACAAAACCATGAGAGAACACAGCAGGTGTTGCGGGGTCGTGGTCAAGACTTGCTCCCCCTACCCCTCCCTAGCTCCCTTCGCTAACGGGTTGAAGTTGGTTACTTATTTTCAGTTTTTGGCTACCAGTTCCAGTTCCTTAACCTGTTCCTTTACGTTTAAAGCCCCCCCCCCCCAACACCCAAAAAAATAACACTGAGAAATAGGAACTGGGAATCGGGAACATGAACTGGGAACTTGAGGTAACAACTTCGGCTCGGTTTCCTCGCTGTAAGTTGAATCCAAACAATCGACGACCGTGGTACCTTGCCAGTTTATCGTATGACATGACAATCTGGGTTCCATTGTTAATTCCATAAAGAAAACTCTAATTTCTTCCATATCCGTGATTTTATCCATTATGAGGGTTAGTTCTAATACAATACAAATATAATATCAATAGTACTCTTCTGGGAGTAAAAGCCGTGTCTATAACATTTATTATATCCACAATAAATGAGAATTATTTTACAGCAATATGTAAATACAAAACATTCATTAAAAGGTACAATGCAAATCCAGTCTTTAGTCGGTAACAAGTCGGAAACATATACCCTTCTATGGTCAGAAAACATGTTTCATCTCTTAACAATCATAGTATATGAGTAATCTATGTTAGGCACAAAAGTTTAGGTTCATTATGTAAACTTTACTTCCAGAAACAAAACAAACAAATGATAGATCGCCAAATCCTACCTTCAAATTCTTCTCAGCACTTCTGGGCTCTTGTTTATCACTCAGTTTCTCTCTTATTACATCAAATAGTCCACTAATCCTCAAGGAAGGTCAACTTCCCTTCTTCACTATTTCAGAAGCCGACATAAGAATAACGCTGGTAAATGACCTCAAATGACGACACAAAACTGCCTCAAGAGGAAGGTCGTGTAGCCTATACTCTACCTCAGTTCGCGAACACACTGATCAAGACGCCACTCGGTCAGTGGAACCCCGCACCTACCTGTTACATTCCTACCCCTTCCCTGTTATATATCTACACCTATAACTTATTAGCTTTATACTCATAGTTATATTTCTGTATTGTATTACATTACCCTGCATTAATTACATGGCGTGCTGTATGATGATCCCAACTCTTGATTGACTGACAAAATATTTCACTAGCCCAGAAATACTTCTACGCCGGTACATCTCCACCCCCACACGGTCAGGTAAAGTAGTCTGAGTAGTCATTATTAATACAGTAAAGATATAGTTCAGTCTTCTAATGGGAGCAGTGTGTTTCAGCCTAATTTACAGTGCAGTACCTACTCCCGAGTCTCACCTTACCGTCCAATGGAAATTTCTTTAATCAATCGTTCAGAGTTTTGACAGTGTAGCATTGGTAAAATTATTAACTAATGGAGAGGGTCTCGTATTTTTACTTTGCTTATCAGAATGGGATTTGCAGTTTCTACCACCAATTTATAAGCGTAAACCACTATTCCTTAATTCCTGACAGGTATTAAAATGAAATTTTCCGGTTATTTTTCTTTACTTTCTGACCTGTGCTTGCCTGCATGACAATACCAAATTAGATAAGTCGTTAGTCGGTAGTTTTCAATAAAATATCTTCCATTATTATTTTTTTGTTCAATAAAATGTTTTATAATACTTCGTTAAATACATTAATTACCATAAATAAGTTAAATTACCTTGTCTTAATTATATATTTCCTACTTTAAAGTCTTTCAAATACGTATATAGTTAAGTTTGGTGACCTCTGACCTGACTACCGACCGTTGCGGTGCTATTTAAAGATTAGTAGGGTCATTACCTAATACCTGACCATTGTGGACCTGATCTCACCCTCCTCTGTATATATACACCTTGTTTTGTACTTCTCTTTAGTCTGTACTCACCCCTGAAGATGTGAATTACACGAAAGCGCTTGGGAACTTTGTGTTTTCTTCTTTCCTTGTGGTTATCAGCATATACCTAGATCACGCGCACCTACAGTGATTTACTACAGTGATTTACAATGAGAGAAATTTAAATAATACCTATAGAACATACAATTACACAAATTACATTGAACGACTATTGTATACTGTAGGTCAACGTTTTACAGAAATGTCCCAAAATAACTTTACGATTCAATAATTATGAAAGTCTATTGTTTAATTACATTTTTACTTTTAATACTAAATAATTTACTTGAACATTATACATACATAGATGAGTTACATTTCTTTTACATAGTCACTGGAGGCTCAAATTTTACACAAGATAGCTATGCTTCTTAATACCTTCTCTACCTGGGGGGGGGGGGGTCGATGAATTTCAGAATGAACACTGCGATTCCTATCGTCTCAGTAGGGTTGTCAAAATCCTTCACCTTTATAACACTTGTTCATTTCTTTATCAGACACATTCATTACTTTATAACGTTTGTTTATTACTTTATAACACTCGTTCATTACTTTATAACACACGCTCATTACTTTATAACACTTGTTCATTAATTTATACCACTCGTTCATTACTGTATAACACTCGTTCATTACTACAGTATAGGTATATGATATTTGTTCATTACTTTATATCACAGGAGTGAATATGTGCTGCTTCAGTGTAAAAATATATCAACACTTTGGCAGGCCATTGACGAATATTTGGTCCTCCAAAAAATCTCCAGATAATGTTCCAATGACGAAAATATTGGCATTAACTTCAAAAACTTGAAAAAATGTATTATAACTTGATTTTCATGGTTCAAGTCTCAAAATGTGCACCCTGTGGGAACCTGAAAGTGTTAAATAAAGGTCTGAGGGATTAACCCCTTCACTACATGGTTACCACTGTTAATATTTTATTTGGTTAAAGCCAGACACCATTATTCAGATCAGAGGGGAAGCCTTACACAAGGGGTTAAATGAAAGTCAAGTAGTGATTAATAACTACAGTACATGTATTTCTCATGTATAATACAGAAAACCTGAAATTTAGTACATTAGATTCATTTAGTAAATAAACTAAAAAGTCACAAGCTCTATACTGTACTGTACTGTAATAAATGGAAATTTCTTAGCACTGGGAACATTTTTGTTACAAATGAGAATACAGTACAGTATATCTTTGGCCATAATTAAACAATATTAAGTCAGTCAATATGGTTTTGTTATTATTTTCTAAAACAAATAATTTTAAAATGAAAAGTGACAATTGAAGTACTGTAATACAGTATTTAAATTCATTGATACACTTAATGGACTGTATCAAATGTATTGTAATTAATATCAATAATGTTTTCAACTATCAATAACAAATTTAATACTTTCTGTACTGTTTATGGGCATCTTTTTACCTGAATAATACAATACTTTATGACTGACCAGCTTACATCTCTCTCACATACACACATATATATGCACACACACACTCTTTCTACATAAGCACATTTAGTTAACTACTGTATGTGACAAACTTTGCAATATATTCTACTTAAAATAAAAAGTTTGGGTTGCTTACTGTCAGCCTCCCAAAATAATAGATCCTTTCATACATCACCCATCACAACTCTTGGGATCTACACAATACACTGGTTATCTCAAGCTGTACAGTATTATAGGAATTCAGGTATTACACTGTTTCTGAGTCCCCATGCACAGAAAATACAATAAATATTTCAAGCAATTAAAGGTGTCAACAATGACCAGATCAAAGTATGGCAAGCACTGGGATATTAGAATCAATGTATCATTAGATGGTTACTGAGTGTGTAGCCACCTTCACGACTAGTCTAGTGAATGAAAGTTTCAATGTCAATACTGCAGTGGTTCCCAAACTTTTTACCAGACCCCCACCACCACCAATTTAATCAAATTTTAATACATTTTACACTTTTTACTCATATCTATATTACTGTATTTATAGTATTTTCAATATCAAGTAACTTGTAATTATTTTATCCATGTACCTTGTGCATATGGGAAAGATTGAAATATACGGGTACTAAGAAAAGTTTTTTTTATTCAATTTTATTGAAAATTTCCTAATAAAGAAAAAATAATGTCAAGTTATAGGTTTTTCACATGGCCTCATTCCCCTGTTTGGGAACCACTGGTCTTTAATAAATAAATGATGAGGTATAAATTACTTTGTCAAGACTACCACAGGCAGGTAGTTATTACCAACGTTTAACATGCCCAATCACTGATTGGCTTTAAAATCACTAGTTGACAAAAGATTATCTTGCCAGTCTCTGAAAGACTTGCACCTGAGCAGATGTCAGAAAATTTTAGTTAGCTCATAAACATATAAAAATATGATATACGTACAATGCAAACATATCTAGACTCATAGGAGACATATACAAATGTCTTGAGAGACAGCAAGAGAGAACAAATAAAAATACAAACAGTACCATACTGCATTTGACAAAATGAATTTAGGATGAATTAGGTTTCAAAAGAATACATCACTATATCTAATTTTCTCTCTATCATTGCCAGATTATAACTATGCCTTTATTTACATATACTGTATAGAGTACCTGTACTGCACCTTTAAAATATCATGTATGACATTAATTGAACATGTAGAACAAATAGTTCTACATGCCTGTCTACCAAATCACAGAACATCATTACCGACACCTAGTACCAATACAGCCATGATGTGTTCATATCATTAGAGGTCAAGTCAATCAAGAGTTGGGAACAATGGTCAGTGTGAGGAGGGCTCCAGTAAGATTAAATGTCTCACTTTACACACTAATTTACTTTAAAAATTTCACTATGCCAACTGAATCTCTGCAATTTATGATGCAGACACTAGTTTCTAAAATTAATGTGCAAATTAATATTTACAGTTTACACAAGCCATAAAAAGCAAATTTATATCATGATACTACCATACATTGGGCTTTACAATGAATCAATTTGCACAAACTACTTGCTGACTTTCCTTACTATTCATAATTAATCAAGTAACCTTTTGGTGCTGCACTTTGCATATGTTATTGTCTAGTTTACATATGGATTGAGTAAATAATCTTGCACTTGAAATTAGGAGAAAAGTTTTTTTTCAATATCATCTAATTACTGTACTGTTTTACAAATTCAGCAATACTGACATACTACTTACAGTGCTGTTTTCTTGTAATGCTTATTGTCCTGGAGCAAATTTTTACCACAAATGATATTAAATATATAGAACACTGACAGAGAGTAAATTACTGTACACTGATTTCTGCTCAGCCAATCAGCTTCCACCTTTGTCAGTTATTATTCCTGTAATCTGTGTTTATTTTGTGGAGCATGTTTTGGTGCCTGCCAAACAGTGTGCCGCACATGCATGGAATGTAAAAACAGTAAACCGCAGATATACTGAAACTCGATATACTGAATTTTGGCTTTAAAGAACCACATGGGCCTATTGAACATGTGTAAAATGTGCTGTTATGTATAAAGTATACATAGTAGTGTGTAGTGTTTCAGTAGTTAATTAATACTGGCCACCTCAAGATCACCAGGAAACAACAGCAGATTCACCTCAGAAAGGTAAATACAGCTACATTTAGTACTGTACTGTACTTGTATTTTTTCTCTATTTTCTGGCTTAAATATTCAATATATCAAATGTAACAAACTTTCGGCTTTAACAAACCACCATTCTGCCTAATTGGTCTATTTTATTGAGGGTTTACTGTAAGGCTTCCTAGGGGCCAAAATTGATGTTTAATAATGCCACATTCAGTTTTGTTACAGATTTCAGAATCCAAATATAGTTTGAGATTATGCCACTTTTCCCTAGATACACATTTATTCTAGATTACTACTCTACTCCTATAAAACAATAAGTAGGCCATTGCTCAACACCTTCAGTACTGTGGGAAATAAAAAACCCAATACACTACTTCATGGATTTTAGAGGAATAAACTACTTGAGTATATATCATTAAGTGGTTCATTCCTGCTAAAACT